ACCGGCTCATCTCATCGAAATTCACCGGCCTTTAAATCGTCTACAAATAGTTTACATGTGTTCATAAGGGAAAAAGAAGTAGGAATCTACCGTTGGCTATCGTCCTGTGTGAATATTTATGGAGAAAAAGCATAAAAATATTTCAAAGTATTGTCACCGAATAAAGGATTGAGATTACTAGTTCAGCTATGATCAATTTGCAATGTTCAGGAACACGTGGTACAGTGGTAGAAACGACAGACGTCAAACTAGTATTGGATCTATTCTCGCTGAAGAAATTTTTTTATATTTTTGCACCATGAAATATTTGGAAACTAATTCTTTTTTTTCTCGAAAAATATTTTCTCAGTATGAAAGCAAACGGTATATTCTTACTTTCTTTACCCAAAAGGACACATACAAGCTATTTACACCGAATTTAAAGCCCGGTGAAACCAGCTATTGCCCTATTTAAAGTGCTGCTCCAACCCACTAGTATAGTTCAGCTCTTTATAAATGATTTAAAGTCCGAATGAATCGGGTGCAAATGGAGAAAATTTTACACAAGTCACCGGCTCATCTCATCGAAATTCACCGGCCTTTAAATCGTCTACAAATAGTTTAAATGTGTTCATAAGGGAAAAAGAAGTGTGAATCTACCGTTGGCTATCGTCCCGATGTGAATATTTATGGAGAAAAAAAAAATTCAGAGTATTGTCACCGAATAGAGGATTGAGATCACTAGTTCAGTTATGATGAATTCGTCATGTTCAGGAACACGTGGTACAGTGGTAGAAACAACAGACGTCAAATTAGTAATGGATCGATTCTCGCGGAGGAAATTTTTTTATATTTTAGCACCAAGAAATATTTGGACACTAATTTTTTTTTTCTCGAAAAATATTTTCTCAGGATGAAAGCAAACGGTATATTCTTACTTTCTCTACCCAAAAGAACACATACAAGCTATTTACACCGAATTTAAAGCCCGGTGAAACCAGCTCTTGCGCTATTTAAAATGCCGCTCCAACCCACTAGTATAGTTCAGCTCTTTATACATGATTTAAAGTCGGATTGAGTCGGGTGCAAATGGAGAAAATTTTACACAAGGCACCGGCTCATCTCATCGAAATTCACCGGCCTTTAAATCGTCTACAAATAGTTTAAATGTGTTCATTAGGAAAAAAGAAGTAGGAATCTACCGTTGGCTATCGTCCTGTGTGAATATTTATGGAGAAATAGCATAAAAATATTTCAAAGTATTGTCACCGAATAAAGGATTGAGATCACTAGTTCAGCTATGATCAATTCGCTATGTTCAGACTGTTCAGGAACACGTGGTACAGTGGTAGAAACGACAGACGCCAAATTAGTAATGGATAGATTCTCGCTGAAGAAATTATTTTATATTTTAGCACGAAGAAATATTTGGAAACTAATTCTTTTTTTTCTCGAAAAATATTTTCTCAGGATGAAAGCAAACGGTATATTCTTACTTTCTTTACCCAAAACTCCAAAAGAACACATACAAGCTATTTACACCGAACTTAAAGCCCGGTGAAACCAGCTCTTGCCCTATTTAAAATGCTGCTCCAACCCACTAGTATAGTTTAGCTCTTTATAGATGATTTAAAGTGCGATTGAATCGGGTGCAAATGGAGAAAATTTTACACAAGGCACCGGCTCATCTCATCGAAATTCACCGGCCTTTAAATCGTCTACAAATAGTTTAACTGTGTTCATAAGGGAAAAAGAAGTAGGAATCTACCGTTGGCTATCGTCCTGTGTGAATATTATCGAGAAAAAGCATAAAAATATTTCAAAGTATTGTCACTATATAAAGGATTGAGATCACTAGTTCAGCTATGATCAAATCGCTATGTTCAGGAACACCTGGTACAGTGGTAGAAACGACAGACGTCAAATGAGTAATGGCTCGATTCTTGCCGAAGAAATTTTTATATTTCAGCATAAACCCGGAATATTTGGAATTTGATTCTTTTTTTCTACTAGGCACCGGCTCATTTCACCGAAATTCACCGGCCTTTAAATTGTCTACAAATAGTTTAAATGTCCATTAGGGAAAAATAAATAGGAATCTACCGTTGGCTTTCGTCCTGTGAAAACATTTATAAAGAAAAAGTATAAAAATATTTGAAAGTATTGTAACCGAATAAAGCATTGAGATCACTACTTCAGCTATTGTTCTTTTGGGTATAGTAAGTGGGAATATACCGTTTGCTTTCATCTTGAGAAAATATTTTTGGAGAATGAAAAGAATTAATTTCCAAATATTCAGTCTTGGTCCATTACTAACTTGACGTCTGTTGTTTCTACCACTGTACCACGTGTTCCTGAACATGACGAATTCATCATAACTGAACTAGTGATCTCAATCCTCTGTTCGGTGACAATACTTTGAATTTTTTTTTCTCCATAAATATTCACATAGGACGAAAGCCAACAGTAGATTCCTACTTCTTTTTCGCTTATAAGCACATTTAAACTATTTGACTACAATTTAAAGGCCTGTGAATTTCGATGAGATGAGCCGGTGCGTTGTGTAAAATGTTCTCCATTTGCACCCGATTCAATCGGACTTTAAATCATGTATAAAGAGCTGAACTATACTAGTGGGTTGGAGCAGCATTTTAAATAGGGCAAGAGCAGGTTTCACCGGGCTTTAAATTCGGTGTAAATAGCTTGTATGTGTTGTTTTGGATAAAGAAAGTAAGAATATACCGTTTGCTTTCATCCTGAGAAAATATATTTCGAGAAAAAAAGTAAAATATAAAAAAATTTCTTCGGCGAGAATAGATCCAATACTGGTTTGACGTCTCTCGTTTCTCCCACTGTACCACGTGTTCCTGAACATAGCGAATTGATCATAGCTGAACTAGTGATCTCAATCCTTTATTCGGTGACAACACTTAGAAATATTTTTATGCTTTTTCTCCATAAATATTCACACAGGACGATAGCCAACGGTAGATTCCTACTTCTTTTTCCCTTATGAACACATTTAAACTATTTGTAGATGATTTAAAGGCCGGTGAATTTCGATGAGATGAGCCGGTGCGTTGTGTAAAATGTTCTCCATTTGCACCCGATTCAATCGGACTTTAAATCATCTATAAAGAGCTAAACTATACTAGTGGGTTGGAGCGCTATTTTAAATAGGGCAATAGCTGGTTTCACCGGGCTTTAAATTCGGTGTAAATAGCTTGTATGTGTTCTTTTGGGTAAAGAAAGTAAGAATATACCGTTTGCTTTCATCCTGAGAAAATATTTTTCGAGAAAAAAAAGAATTAGTTTCCAAATATTTCTTGGTGCTAAAATATAAAAAAAATTCTTCGTCGAGAATCGATCCATTACTAATTTGACGTCTGTTGTTTCTACCACTGTACCAGGTGTTCCTGAACATGACAAATTCATCATAACTGAACTAGTGATCTCAATCCTCTATTCGGTGACAATACTTTGAAATATTTTTATGCTTTTTCTCCATAAATATTCACTCAGGAGGATAGCCAACGGTAGATTCCTTCTTCTTTTTCTCTTATGAACACATTTAAACTATTTGTAGATGATTTAAAGGCCGGTGAATTTCGATGAGATGAGCCGGTGCCTTGTGTAAAATTTTCTCCATTTGCACCCGATTCAATCGGACTTTAAATCATCTATAAAGAGCTAAACTATACTAGTGGGTTGGAGCGCTATTTTAAATAGGGCAATAGCTGGTTTCACCGGGCTTTAAATTCGGTGTAAATAGCTTGTATGTGTTCTTTTGGGTAAAGAAAGTAAGAATATACCGTTTGCTTTCATCCTGAGAAAATATTTTTCGAGAAAAAAAAGAATTAGTTTCCAAATATTTCTTGGTGCTAAAATATAAAAAAAATTCTTCGTCGAGAATCGATCCATTACTAATTTGACGTCTGTTGTTTCTACCACTGTACCAGGTGTTCCTGAACATGACAAATTCATCATAACTGAACTAGTGATCTCAATCCTCTATTCGGTGACAATACTTTGAAATATTTTTATGCTTTTTCTCCATAAATATTCACTCAGGACGATAGCCAACGGTAGATTCCTTCTTCTTTTTCTCTTATGAACACATTTAAACTATTTGTAGACGATTTAAAGGCCGGTGAATTTCGATGAGATGAGCCGGTGCCTTGTGTAAAATTTTCTCCATTTGCACCCGATTCAATCGGACTTTAAATCATCTATAAAGAGCTGAACTATATTAGTGGGTTGGAGCAGCATTTTAAATAGGGCAAAGCTGGTTTCACCGGGCTTTGAACTCGGTGTAAATAGCTTGTCTGTGTTGTTTTGGGTAAAGAAAGTAAGAATATACCGTTTGCTTTCATCCTGAGAAAATATTTTTCGAGGAAAAAAATAATTAGTTTCCAAATATTTCTATGTCAACGACGAAAGTCGTGGGTTTTCTCCGGGTACTTCGTGGTTCCTCCCATATGGAAGGTTGTCAGGGTGGGTTAGGCACATAGGTCTGGAGGCAGAACATTAATGAGGTATGGACTAATAGCGGCTGCTCAAGCGCCATTTGTAAGCTCAAGGTCTACCTCGGTCTGCTTCACGTCAGTCCGGTTCTATCTATCTATTCATAATGTAACCAGTCACTGAAAAGCCCTATAGGAAGTGTGCTGTGAAATATCTGTATCTGTATCTGTATAATTGAACTGCTGGTGCCAATGTACATGCATGTATACGACCTGCTTATTGTTTGTTAGCTGTAAAAATAAAAAAAATTACCTAATAACTCTACAATCTATCATTTTTTTAGTGTTTGATTGCCCTGCCAATCTAGATGATTCGTTTCCCCCCTGATGATCACTTTATACCAAATTATTGTTGGAAATAGCTGGAAATGCACTTTCACAGTGCTTCTAATTTTCAAGCTAGACCCACAGACGACCTAGCGAGGTTCGTGGTTTGAAATCAACCCCTCGATTCGTAAAATCACTGCAAGGTCACTGCACGATATTCCTTTAGTTTATTTACACAGCTTTCATAATCAGTTCTAAAAGTTCTGGCAAGTTCCTTCGAAACAACTGCTCATTGCTCATATCAATCAACGCTGACGTTATGTTTAATCGCTTAGCAACGACCGTGATCTTATCCAGAGGGCGTGGACACCACTGTAGTAAGACTGGCACCACTGGTTTCCTGTGTAGCTCAGCCAACTGAGCATCTTTGATAAAGTTATCACAATGTAGATATTTCAGCGTGATGCAAAGAATAACGATGGTTGCATTGGAGATTCCATCTTGCACCAATGCCGGAAGTAATGTGTATTCTTTGCGTGATCTAGCTTGAACACTGATTGCTATAGGTCTGGATGCATCTGTAGTTGTCTCGCATCCATGACGGTCCAGGAATTCCTTCATTTTCCCAACTTTACTTTGCATATTCCAGTGATAGCTCAGGAACACTTTTGGTCTCTTGAAGGTGGATGCATTCAATCCTGAAGAAACAAATTAGAGTTGGGTCCATCGGTTTATCAAGAATGATTTTAATCAATCCATGTCAGTATTAAACTATACACACGTAAAAACGCGCAAGTTGTAACAAACCTCCAGCAGACTTGTAGCAATGCTGTTCCAACAACTTGTCAACAGGATGTGTTCGCACTGCTTGTTCCCAGCTTGTTGACAAGTTGTCAACGGCTTGTTGACAACTTGCTACAAGGTTGTTGAGCTCAACAGACTTGTTACAAGTTCAGGGACTAAAAGTGCCCTTTTTTGTGATGAAAAGTGCCATTTTTTGTGATGAAAAGTGCCCTTTTTGTACAAGCCATTGTCGCTGTAAATACTAAATTAACATCAAAGGTGCATCAAAGGTGCCTTTTTGTTTGGAAATTTCCAAGTTTTAAAAAAAAAAAATGGTCAAAAACGTGCAATTTTGGTATGGTACGACTGGAAAATTTTTCTGCCATTTTCAATACCCTAAAGTGCCCCTAGGAGCAGGCCCCCCCCCCCCCAATATCTTGATGCTTCCTACGCCACTGTATAAGTTGTTACAACAACTTGTTATCGCGAAGTGTCAACTCCTAGGAGCAGTTTTCAATACCCTAAAGTACCCCTAGGAGCAGGTGCCCCCCCCCAATCTCTTGATGCTTCCTACACCCCTGTACAAGTTGTTCCAACAACTTGTTATCGCGAAGTGACAAACTTGAAAAAGAATAACAGCATTGTTACGAAGGCTACAAGCCTGTTGTGATCAAATCTTGACGACAAGTTGTGACATTTTTACTGCTGAACTCCTGTTTCCTTCCTTACAGGAGCATTTAGGAAAGAACAGTTACAGCTATCCAGTTTAAATAAACTTAGTGCAGATTTGATTTGGGTGTTGATATTAATCTCCACTGTACCTGGGCTCTTGCCTAGAAAGGTTTCAAGTGGTTTTAAACCATTTCTCATTTTCTGAACATAATGTTGTTGTAAGATAACCCTTGGCAGCCGCCCTCGTCCGAGGCTCACGTGATAACGCAGTATATCAAGCCCTTCCAAATAGCGCTCTCTTTCGAAATTGATTGCAGGTTGTTTAGCAACGATAGCTCGCAATGCATGTCTTGCTGACGTCATAGCGCCTTGATCAAACACAGCTATCATGATCCGCTTCTCAAGCCACGCAGACAATAGAATCTCCTTAAACACCACATGAGAACCATCACTAGATGACGTCAGAAGAAAGATCACCGTAGCAGACTCGGTCACGAGCCTGGCACTAGATTTTGAAAATCCAGAACAACCATTCATCTGAGCCTACAACGAAACGACCGTAAAATAAATGCCAGAGGTGGTTGCAGCGCTATAAACCTTAAAGCCCAGAGAGTACTCCCCCACGCCAAAACTATCTGCGTCGCTACCCCTTTTGAACCTTTTGAACCAGTCTATAACGAAAAATTTTTTCAATCAACCCGCATTAAAATTTTCCAAGTCACAATTTGATCGAAATTTTCTATGTCAATAGTTGACTGATAAATCCAGGTAACGGGCAAGCGTAGTAAATTCTATAATAAAATAAATACGGCTAAAGATTCATTTGCATACGGCTTGTACTCTGAAAGTCATGTCAAAATGTGCTTTAAAATTCTCCTGAGGCAAAACTATCTGCAAAAATATGCGTTTTGAACCTTTCTAAGTCGGTCTACGACGTAAAAAATTTTTCGATCAGTTTTAGTTGACTCAAGAATACGGCTAACGGCTAAGCATGTGCAATCTATATCAAAACACGGCTAAGGATTCATTTGCATACGTATACTGCATGAAAGCTTATATGTCAAAATGTGCTTTACAATTCTCCTGAGCCAAAACTTTCTGCGTCATTATGCGTTTTGAACATTTCTAAGTCGGTCTATAACGAAAACATTTTTTCGATCAGCCCGAAATTTTCTAAGTCAAAATTTGGACGGCTAAGGGTAGTGGAATCTATATGAAAACACGGCTAAGGATCATTTGCATACGTATACTACATGAAAGTTTATATGTCAAAATGTGCTTTACAATTCTCCTGAGCCAAAACTTTCTGCGTCATTATGCGTTTTGAACATTTCTAAGTCGGTCTATAACGAAAACATTTTTTCGATCAGCCCGAAATTTTCTAAGTCAAAATTTGGACGGCTAAGGGTAGTGGAATCTATATGAAAACACGGCTAAGGATCATTTGCATACGTATACTACATGAAAGTTTATATGTCAAAATGTGCTTTACAATTCTCCTGAGCCAAAACTTTCTGCGTCATTATGCGTTTTGAACATTTCTAAGTCGGTCTATAACGAAAACATTTTTTCGATCAGCCCGAAATTTTCTAAGTCAAAATTTGGACGGCTAAGGGTAGTGGAATCTATATGAAAACACGGCTAAGGATCATTTGCATACGTATACTACATGAAAGTTTATATGTCAAAATGTGCTTTACAATTCTCCTGAGCCAAAACTTTCTGCGTCATTATGCGTTTTGAACATTTCTAAGTCGGTCTATAACGAAAACATTTTTTCGATCAGCCCGAAATTTTCTAAGTCAAAATTTGGACGGCTAAGGGTAGTGGAATCTATATGAAAACACGGCTAAGGATCATTTGCATACGTATACTACATGAAAGTTTATATGTCAAAATGTGCTTTACAATTCTCCTGAGCCAAAACTTTCTGCGTCATTATGCGTTTTGAAC